CCAGCGGGCCGCCATCTTGTCGGAGCGACTCAGACGTCAACAAACCGTCACGTGACAAACTCGTCCGCCGACGTCGCGCGCTCTCGGTGCCTCTCGGGCTGGTGAAATTGAAGTGTTCCAAACAGAAAGAAAACAACCTGTCTCGTGCCGCTTTTCAACCCAAAGAACCATTTTCAAAGAACGCAGATATTTTTTTTCCGATTGTAGCCACGTTTTTCAACAAAACAAACCGCGGGAAAAGCGCTTTAAATTTCAGCGAGTCCGGATTTTTCCAAGTGCGCCGGATTTCCGAGCACGGAAGGTCTTCTCTAATTGGCCGGGCAGTTCGCGTCATCGATGCAAGATGGCGCAGCCCGGAGTGGAGCATGTTGTCGCAGACGCGGGAGCCTTTCTGAACAAAGCTCCTCTCCAGGTCACTTTTACTCTCATTAACATTCATAAAACAAACTTTGCCCGACGCTTATCTGTTATGAGGCATCGAATCCGATTTGATCTTTTTTATCCGTGAATATTGACGTTGCCTCGCACTAAACGGATGACGTCACAATTAGCGATCCGTCGACCTGAAAGCGTTCGCATTAGGACAGCCACTTTCTGGCGCGGCTACATGGCACTACATCTGCTAGGCCACTTTGGCGACTACTACTTGACACCACAACTACTCGATTTCATGTAGTAGTGACGTCACCACAGCAAAATATACTGAGAACATGCAAACGCTACACAGGAAGGCCGGAGCTGGAATCGGTTCGTCTGCACTGTGAGGTCGACGCACTAACCGAACCACTCGCCCACCGGGCCGCCCCATATATATATATATATATATATATATATGTGTGTGGATGTATGTATAGGTGTACACGTGTATATGTATCCGTTTTATAGAATATGTGTGTATATAATGAGAGGCAGAGGAGAAGCAAAAACTAGAAGGAGCGACGACTCGTAAGTTGAAAAGCGGTGACAACAACGTTTGGCGCTGCATTTCAGGACATTGGGAAGACCGTGTACACGCCGAGGGAGGTCGTGGATGAGATCCGGGACAAAGCCACCAGGAGGAGTCTGGCCTTCCTCCCGTACCAGCTCAACCTGCGACAGCCTGCAGCCCAGCACGTCCGATTCGGTAACGGCGGCGGGGCGAGGAGGGCAAGGAGGTCGCGGATTCTGCGCAGACTGACTCCGCCTTTGCCGCTCTCTCAGTGACGGAATTCTCCAAGAAGACTGGCGATTACCCCAGCCTGTCGTCCACCGACATCAAAGTCCTGGCGCTGACGTTGCAGCTGGAGGAGGAACACGTCGGGACGGGGCACCTGCGCAAGGAGCCCCGCTTCCAGGTGCGACTCCACCGCGCCCCCGCCGCCCCGCCCCCACCGTGCCGCTCCCACAGCCCGCTACTTGTCCTTTGCAGGTGGACGTGAGCGACACGCGGCGCCACCCGGAGACGCCTGTCAACGTGGCGGGATTCCACTTCCCTTCGGAGGTCGGGGCTCATCTTTGACCCCACGCGCACTTCACATTTGACTCAAAAACATCAATGAGATAAGATGCGGCTCCCGGGTGACGCGGCTGCACGAATGAGGTCACGCCGCAAATACGATATCACACTGCATTGCCGGTGATCTTGGAGTTGCGGTGTGATGTCGTCATGATGTTTTTCGCACCGGGCAACCGATTGAATCGATTTGAGTCATTGAGTGACTGACGAACGTGCCCAAATTCAACTGGTACGTGTGTTGTTACGGTTCCTGTGGCGTCATTGTCGTCGTCGTCTTCTCCCGTCAGGGTTCCCAACGCAAACAGGAAGTGAGGAGCACGCCACAGCCCCAGGCATCGCCCCCTGGCACTGACGAGGGCGATTTCAACAGCTTCCTGTTCTGGAGGCAAACACCGGCCCCCGTTGACCGCCACCTGCTGGCTCTGCTGGTCATTACAACGCCCGTTCGCTCACAGCGCTTCTTTGGAGCGGCTCATTGATGCTTTGTCGATGTAGGAGGAAGACGGCACGCAGGAAGTCGTCGGGAAGGACGACGACGACGAAGAGGAGGAGGAGGAGGTTGAGGAGGATGACGACCACGACGACGATGGAGGAGGTTGGATCACGCCCAGCAACATTGGACAGATGAAGATCGAGTCGTCCGATTGGACGATGGCTGCCCAGGTCAAAGTGGGATGTTTGACCACAGACTTTGCCATGCAGGTGAGTGAGCGGCACACCGCCGTGCTACTCTAGTGACTGAATCATGCGATTGATCGCGTGACTCGCCAGGTGTCGTCACGCGGGTCACCATGTGGCAGTTCACCGCGGCTCGCCTCACGGCTTGCTTCGCCATGTCGCTCCTTTGACTCGCGTGACCGACCCCTGCGTTACTTCCAACATGTAACTGGTGACTCGGCGCCTGCCTCGCCATGTAACGGGCGTGACTCGACGTCACACGATGAGTCAATCGCGACTGACTTGATGGAGCCCGACCAAACTTCTGGCTCGAACGCGTCTCGGCATGAGAGTCGTCACAGGGCTGACGTGACTCTTTGTGCGACTCCCCGCGCAGAACGTCCTGATCCAGATGGGGCTCCACGTGGTGTCGCTCAACGGGATGTTGATCAAACAGGCTCGGAATTACATCCTCAGATGTCACGCCTGTTTCACGTGAGTACACATGCGCGTGTGCGTGCTTGGCCGGAGGAAGGACACGCCGTTGAGAGCGTGTGCGTCGTTTGCGTCAGGACCACGAGCAACATGAGCAAACAGTTTTGCCCAAAGTGCGGCAACCGAACGCTCAAGAAGGTCAGCGTCAGCGTCGACGAGGACGGACACGTGCACATGCACTTCTCCAGAAACCCCAAAGTGCTCAACGCTCGCGGCCTCAGGGTAAAAAAAACAGACACGCTCACGTACATGACACGCGCACATCAACTCGAACCGCTTCTGCGCGCGGCTAACGCAAGCGGCTAACGCAAGCGGCTAACGCAAGCAACGAAGCTAACCGGCGGCGTTGTTCCGCTTTTCGCCGTTGCAGTATAGTTTGCCGCTGCCGCGGGGGGGGAAGCACAGTCAGAACCCCCACGTGTGCGAAGATCAGCGCTTCCCTCAGCAGCGTCTGTCGCGAAAAGCCCGCCAGAAGACGGACGCGTGGGACCCGGACTACGCGGCCGGCGGGGCGTCGCCCTTTTGCCAGAACGACGTCTACAGCCGCGCCGCCAACCTCAAGCTCCGAGACGCCGACTGCGGCGCCGGCCGCCGCAGAGTCAACCCCAACGCCGCCCGCAGCAAGTACAACAAATGAACTGGCTTCTGCAGCCCCCTCCCCCATTGGCGATCCCGCGCACGCAAAGCAGCCAATCGGCACTCCTTTCCCCGTCCAACTGGAAGCGATTGCTAAGAAAGACCGACCGGAACCGGCCGGGGTCTTGCGCTTTTCGGTTTCTCTGCTGTTGTATAAATCAAATCGAAGCTCAAAGTGCCTCCTTGTCGTTTGTTGCCACCTTGTGACGCCAATTTTTTTTTTTTTAGTTTTTCCCTTTCATTTTTTATTGGATGACCTATTTGATCCCGATCAGAGATTGTCCCAAAGCACACTAGAAATTTTCTCGGACCGTCATCACAAGGGGGGGGGGGGTTGTCGTAGGTTGGCGCGCACCCTCCAAATATGCGTCTTCTTCCATTCCAAGTCATGACGGGTGGTGGGGATTTGTTGAATCCCGTCCTCTTTTTGAGCACGAGTCTTCATGTTTGGGGTCGTCTCCACCGGGCTCTGCATTTGAAGGCACGATTCCAGCATCGGGAAGAAAAGGACGGTTCCCAGCACGACGGGCGTAAAAAGTCAAAAACAAACTTTAATGTGGTTTGACGTCCATATAAAATGTACAAGATGGGGGGAGGGGGGGGGGGGGGTTCAGGAGCCGTTGACGTGAAGCTCTTGTTCCATGTCCTCGACCTCTTCCATCTGAGCGTCCATCTGGGAGGCGTGGCCTTCGTCCTCCTCCTCTTCCTCCTCCACGCCGGCGCCATCTATAGGAGAAGAAGAAAAGCGATGTGGCGCGCTGGTCGGGAGCCCGCAAGCGGCCGAGGGCGGCGGCGGGGGGGCGGCGGCGCCTGCGGGCGGGCTCG